TTTTTTCATGAGGCAGACGATTTCGTGTGTGTGTGTGTGTTCGTTCGCCTGATCGGGAAGTTGCATTGACAGAAATGGTGACATTCCAGATAAAGTTTGAAAGGAGTAAAGCCTGTGTTAATGCTATTGTGTAGGCTAATATGGCCAAAGAAGGTATTTTGTTTTATAAATAAATATTAATTTAAAAGCAGCCCACGATCAACGTGTTATGTTACCGTTATCCCTTACGGCTCCGACGAGGTTTTGGTCCGTCCTCCACGCTGAGACAACTCACAAAAGACTATTTTTAGCCAAGCAGCGCAGAGAGCCGCTTCAGAAACGTGCCACGGCTGCCTGATAAACACAAGCACTGACTAGAGCGGCCGCAATCAGCTCCAGTAGCCGTGGAGCCCAACGCGCTGCAGACGTGTGCAGTGAGGAGCAGATCAGCTCTAACGTCACTGAATCTGCTGTTAAAAATGAACCATCTATTCATCATATTATCATGCAAAACATACACGACAAATAGCAAATTTTTCATTGTTTCTCGAAACGTCATAGCATTTCCACACCGGCGATGACATGACTGTGACTCCAAATCATTTATGTCCCACACATCATGTACGTCGTCACGCGTTCACGTCATCAAATTGCGATCGGTTCGTGAGATCGGCCAAGTGTAGTGAGTACCGATCGAGTCATAAAATGTGATTATCGGCCGATACCGATCTCCGGCCGATCGATCGGAGCATCCCTAACTCATGGTATTCAAAATATACCATGAGCTCTGAAATGTGGAAGCCACAAACACCATGTTTATTTGCCAAGTACAATTATGAAGAAACATCCACAAATCAGAAATGTTGCTGTTACCATGGGAACAAAAGTCAACTGTAAAAGTCTACTTCCTTCAAGTGATCTTCCAAGATGGCGCCGCGGAAGGCCGCCTCGGTGTGGAGCTCTACAGTTGTTTTAATGTTTTTGTTAGTTTATCCTGTTTTTAGTTATATTCCCACAATCAGTTTCACCATGGATGAATTGCGGAACATTCGGCAGTACACACCACCCAATTCTGATGTTTTACTGGACATTGTAGTTGGCGGAGCGGTGGTGCTGTTCAAGCACTTTAAGACATGCAAGCATGGGAAGCGAGCCGGAGCACAGGTCAAGCTCAGACAGCGCGGCTTTAGAACGGTGCTGCCTAGTATCCATCTGGCGAATCTCTGCTCTCTACCCAACAAAACTTCTTGTGCTCTCCTGGATAAATAAGGACTTTTCAAACTCTGCTGCTCTGTGTTTCACAGAAACCTCACTGTTTGGTTCATCTTATACCAGCCTACAGGCAGAAACTGAAATAAGCTAAACCTGTAATAAGGACTGTAAAAAGATGGACTAATGAAGCAGAGCAGGATTTACAAGCCTGCTTTGACTGCACTGATTGGAGTGTTTTTGAAGCTGCTGTCAATGATCTGGATGAGCTCACAGAGACTGTAACATCATGCATTCTGTGAGGATATGTGCATTCCTACCAGGACTCATTTAACTTACAACAACGGCACATCGTGGTTCACTGCAAAACACAGACAGCTTCATCAGGCAAAAGAAGATGCTCACAGGAATGGGGAAAGAGTCTTGTATGAACAGGCCAAAAACACACTGACAAAGGAGATCAGAGTGGCTAGAGAATCCAGTTTTCAGCCAATGTTTCAGTGTGGAAAGGACTGAAAGACATCACCAATTACAAGACCACATCCCCCAGCACTGTGCTGAATCAAAAACTGGCCGACATTTGAATGAATTCTATTGCAGGTTTGAAAAACCCTGTCTCACACCCCACACCCATTGTGACCTTCTCTCCATGGATCCAATAACACCTCCAACAACCCCCCTCCTGAACTTCGGATCAGTGAAGATGATGTGCGTCAGGTCTTCTGGAAACAGAAGACAAGAAAAGCACCAGACCCATAGTGTGTTATACCAGCCTGTCTGAAATCCTGTGCTGACCAGCTGGCCCCTATCTTCACATAAATTTTCAACAGATCACTGGAGCTATGCGAAGTCCCTTCCTGCTTCAAACGCTCCACCATCATCCCCATACCAAAGAAACCTAAAATCACAGGACTAGATGACTGCAGACCTATTGCTTTAATGTCTGTGGTCATGAAGTAATTTGAAAGACTGTGTGCTGGTCCACCTTAATGACATCACTGGACCCTTACTAGAACCCCTGCATTTTGCTTTCCGAGCAAACAGGTCTGTGGATGATGCAGTCAACATGGGACTGAATTATATCCTACAACATCTGGACAAACCAAGGACTTGAAAATTCTCATCCAGCACCCAAACCATCAGCACTGGCGCCCCTCAGGGATGTGTTCTCTACCCACTGCTCTTCTCCCTCTACATCAACGACTGCACTGCAAAGGACCCCTCTGTCAAGCTCCTAAAGTTTACAGATGACATGACACTTATCGGCCTCATACAGGACAGTGACGAGTCTGCTTACAGATGCGAGGTTAAAGAGCTGGCTGTCTGGTGCAGTCTTAACAACCTGGAGCTGAACACGCTCAAAACAGTGGAGATGATTGTGGACTTCAGGAGAAGCCCCCCTGCACTCCCCCCACTCACCATCGTGAACAGCACTGTAGCAACAGTGCAGTCATTCAGATTCCTGGGCACCACTATCTCTCAGGACCTGAAGTGGGACACTCACATGCTGATACAGTTCTACTCTGTAGTCATTGAATCCATCCTTTGCACTTCTATAACTGTATGGTTCAGCTCAGCTACCAAAACTGACCACAGAAGACTACAGCGGATAGTTCGGACTGCTGAGCGAATCACTGGTTCAAGCCTCCCCACTCTCCAAGAACTGTACTCATCCAGAGTGAGTAAAAGAGCTGGCAAAATCATTCTGGACCCCTCACACTCAGGCCACTTCCTCTTTGAACTGTTGCCATCTGCACTGAGCGCTAGAACAGCCAGGCATGAGAACAGTTTCTTCTCTCAAGCATTCTATCTCATGAACAGTTAACTTTACAATAAACATGTAATACACAACATTATTTATACATTTATTTATTTAACACACCATACTTCTTATTTACATTTCCTTGCATTCGTACATAACACACCTGTACACACAAATACCATATATTGTCTATTTTGTATATTGCGTTTTTCTTCAAAAAGTTGTTGTATATTGCTATTTCCTGTTATTATCTGTCTTTTCACTGTCATTCTGTTTGTGCTGTGGAAGCTTTTGTCACCATAACAAATTCCTTGTATGTGTAAACATAACAGGCAATAAAGCTCTTTCTGATTCTGATTCTAATAAGAAAGACATAATGGAATCAGTCTCCTTGCACTCTAAAACAACTTATGTAATATTGTGAAATAATATTACAATTTAACATAACTGTTTTCTATTTTAATATATTTTAAAATGTAATTTATTCTTGTGATTGCAATGCTGAATTACTCCAGTCTTCAGTGTCACATGATCCTTCAGAAATCATTCTAATATGCTGATTTGCTGCTCAAGAAACATTTCTTATTATCAATGTTAAAAACAGATATTTTTGTGGAAATGTGATCAATTTTTTCAGGACTTTTTTGATTAATAGAAAGTTCAAAAGCATTTATTTTAAATATACATTTCAGTAATAAACGTCTTTATTTTGATAAAAGTATACATTTCTTTTCTTTTTTTTAAATTCAGTTAATAGTTTTATATTTTATGGTCAAAGCTGATTTGTGTATGCTTTATGGGATGTAGGGATGTAACGATTAACCGTGAGCCGGTTGAAAATCAATTCAAATACGTGACGATTCAAATCGGTTGAGATGCTAAACAAATCGTGATTCATTTAGGGGTAGGAGTTTATATGAATGTATGTCTGAGGGGAACTTACTGTCTTTAGAAAAGTTTAGATGGTATTTTTTCTTTTCATCTTGCCTCTCTATAATGCATATTAAAGTTCATAAGTGCAGCGCTGCTTTGTTTACAGCGGAAACCAAGGAAACGCTTTAAGCGCCACCTGCTGGCAGAGAGTGAATCTGCGTCTCATTCAGCTCATCCGCTGTTTCATGCAGATATTTTTTATGCATAGTTTCACAAAACTGAAGTCAAACCATTCTGTTTTTGCTTCAAATTTAGAAATTATACAATGTAATTTAGATTTAAAAATCCTCATGTTGCATGTATGCAGCATCTTTGTTTGAATCATTATTAAAATGCAGTGGTTGCCTCTAATTTTACATGGAAAGAACACTGACAAAGCCTTATTTTGTTTATATGAAGAGATTTATTTTATTTGTGTTACTTATTTATTTGATTTGGGGCTTGTTTTAAAATTTCAATTTAGTTTTGTTATTTACATTTACATTATATTTCAATTTTGTCATTTAGCAGACGCTTTTATCCAAAACGACTTACAAATGAGGACAATAGAAGGAATCAAAACCAACAAAATAGTAATTATATGCTATAAGTGCTATATTAGTATATTATTATAGTGTTATATTTAAATTTCACAAAGAAACGTGGAGCATTTTGTCCAAGCAATAATAAAAGGACACATTTAATTTATAATTTGTCTTAAATCTCATTTTGTAAAAAAAAAAAGTGAATCGAATCGAATCGTGAAATCAAAATCGTGAATCGAATCGTGAGTTGAGTGAATCGTTACATCCCTAATGGGATGTGTACTGTAGTTCATTTATCATTGTAACATTGTAACCTTGTAACATTGTTATTTTAAATACTTTTTTTTTTTTGCTTTGAATCAAAATTGTATTTAATTTTGAAGTTGTTTGGTTTGGTTTAATTCTTTGAACACTTTTTTGAAAAGCTTAAAATAAATGGGAATATTCCCTCCAGAACCAGGTTAAGCAGAGAGATTTCCACTCTTATAATGACGTCACATGTACAACTGGCCAAATACATTTCTTCAAGACATTTGTTGATAAGACTACATCCATTTACATGAAACAAAATGCACTCAATTAATAGAAAAATTAATGCACTCACCTACATAATCAGGAATACCAATCCCAGAGATCTTTGCACACACATTTACTGACAGACTGAGAGAAAGAAATAAAAAGAGAAAGAGACATTTAGTACAGCATAACTTAGCCAAAAAGCAATGACAACATTTAAGTGGCATTAAAAAAAACAGAGGAAGAGGATTGTGAATATAGGTGGAGTGTTAATACATGGAGCTGAATGGAGATGTGGAATGCTGAGGGACTGTGTGATACTCAATATTTAATTAATTAAACAAATTTGCCTCTTTTTTCTCATCCATCTGTCCTTTCCTTGCTTCATCTCTCTATCCCTCCCTCTCTTTAATAGTCTGGTAATAGAGGTGGCAATTAGATCAGCCCAAGAGCGACTTCCTGTTCCTGTCAGAAAAAAGGGACAAAACCTCTCTCATTTTCTCAAAGATCTCATACAAATACTATATTGTCATTATATATTCTAATAACATTTCAAAAGCCCATTTATATGAAGTCTAATATGCAAACACCCACACAAACACACTTTTATCTAGACACAGCACAGGACGTCCCGGCTATGGACCGCACAATTAATTTACTGGAATCTAAAGATGGCAGTTCTGTTGCTGCAGGGCTCTTGTGTAAAACTAGCCCTTAATTTGCAAAGAAACACAAATAGAACCAGGACGGAGGATTTAAAACATGCTAGACCATCACAAGCAACTCACTGACACACATGCTGTAAGGTGAGAGCGCATAAAAACACACTCACACCTCTCCAGCTGGTGCTCAATAACTGTATTTCCATTATGTTGAACGTGTAATGATATCTGTGCTCGGGGACTTACAACTACAGTCTTAATGGCCCAAAGGGCCAATCCGATGCATAGCATTCCATACAACCCAAATATGTCTAATCAGAAACACCCCATTAGCCCCCCTACACACACTTACACAGCATTGAGCGTGTCTGAGTTTAAATTAGCGTTAAAAAACAGCTGGATGCGGTGCCTCATGAACAACACAAAATACCCATGAGGCCGTGCCTGATGGAATCCAGCATTTGTGCATTATGCTCTAACCACGCAAACCCTGCCATGACCCCTCCAGGTAGTGGTGCATTTTAAAATGCACAGCCGAAGTCATATTTAAGGGAGGAAGTGGCCCCATTACATCATTTAATGATAACTTGCTAGTTCTCCTCCCCCGTGACAAGGGTAAATGCATAATCACGTACAAGGCCTGCGCACATACAAACACTCCAGTGCCCGGAGGTTGACCCCTCCTGACCCCTGCTCTGACCCCACTGCAACTTTTCTGACTCTGCCGCCCATCTGCCATCTGTAATTACTGTCCACTCCTCAGAGTATTAATGGCAACCTTCTGTGTGTGTGGTTTGACATGAGTCATTTAACACACTTTTGCACTATGCACATACGTAGGCTGTTTAAAATATAATTGTATAAAATATAAGCGAAATTTTTTTATTAAATTTGAAAAATGCAAAACAGAAGCATTACACTAGTTGCTGTTGATGATAATAATAATAATAACAATTATTATTATTGTTATTATTATAATAACAGAATAGAAACTAATTGCATTAAATTAAAAATATACATTTCACTGGGTAGTATGATTATTATTGTTGTTGTTTTTATTATTATTATTAATCCTTCTGTTTTGCAATTTTCTCATTTAAAACAATTTGTTTCATTTCTGTTGAAAGAATACGAAAGAATATAAAAAATAAAAAATAAACAAATTTAACTCTAGCGAGACACAATTTTAACCATGAGTTTACAATCTTAACCATGGTGGTGGTTTTTCCATCCTCTGGATCTCTTTACGCTCTCTTCTCTGGCTTGTTCTGTTTCTTGGTGTTCATCTGTGTGATTCAAAGTTTCTCTCTGTCTCTCTATTTCCAACCACAGTTTGTACATTTATTTTACTAAGCTACTCTTTTGTTATTGCAGAATTCCACACTTTAGTTCTTTCGTTTGTCTCTCCAAAACCTCTAAATTCTTTCTTCCCCATGCCAACCCTAACACACGGGCACATGCACCCCAAGCAGCCAAACAGATCTGGTATGTTTACAGTCACGGGGCCCAAAAACTACTTGTGGGACACAATGTCCATCCACAAAAGGGGTAAGAATGCAGGGTTGTGTGTATGTTTGTGTGGTTTGGAAGAATGTATTGAGACTTCCAGAAACACTGAAGTTTTACCACAGAGAAGAAAAACTGCTGTAATGTGGTACTATAGACCATATGACTTTAAAACCTCCCAGTCAGCCATAGCTCTTTGGCCCAGACTGCTTTGGTTTACCCTTAACCAGGACTAAAGACCAACATAACTGTCCCATCAGCTGAACACTTCATCTAGAATAGATTAATCAAAACATGAACTTTCAAAAGTTGTTAGTTTGTTTTTTGAGCTTGAAGTAAGAGTCACCCTTCAGTAACTAGCACTGGATAAATGTGGTTGACACTTACCAGGTTACCATGTCATCAGAATTGGGCATGCGGCAGGACTTGTCCTCAGGATTGAGAATTCTGGGTGTCAAAATCAGCTGAGCGTCCACCGTGACCACTGGCCTTGACCTAGTATTGATGAGAGACAATATAATGGGAATAATATTAAAAAAATAAATAACAAATTACTGATATAATTGATATGATATGATATGATATGATATTGCAGTAATAAGTTTGAATGGGAAGCTAAATTCAGAGCTGTACATGAACATTAGGAACCCACTAAAGTTGGCTGTTAAAAATCCAAAGAAATGACAAGACCTAATGTCAATGTGAATTTCAGTTCATAACACATTTTACATGTATGTAAGTGTGAAACAGATACTCATATGAAAATATGTGAATATTAGTTCACTAATAGCTTTTTGGTTGTTGGTTAACAATATTCGATAGTTCAAAGTTGTTTCAAAGGAAGATAAAAAAAAAAAAAAATCAAAAATAGAATAATGTACCAATGAATTGTTTACAATAAGACCAGGAACATGCATTAAGAAAGTAAATATAAATGTACATTTTGTTTTCATGTTGACTTTAAAGGTGCTTTGAGTGATTTTAGCCATTTTGCTAACTTCAACAACACACTTTCTCTCCAAAACCTCTCTCTCATAACAGCAAACCTGAACATACAAAATTACTGACAAGAATTTCGATTAGCTAAAAAAGCTAATTGAAGTCATTTCTCAGGACGCCTATTTCAGTGACATCTGATTTCTGACGGAATGAACATTTAATGCACAGTATTACATAATCACTTACAAAACATTTAACTAACAGAAACTAAACATTCAGAGTCTTATTCTAATAGAACATCAGACAGACTGAGTAAATGAGAACTTAACATGAGGTCAGTCTCTGTTCTGCTCCGGTCTCACTTTCAGCCTGTTGAGACTAGCACTCAAACTGGATTAACAGTGGAAATGTTAGCTTACACAAATACACCAGAGCCCACTACAGCTAATCGCTTTAACACTTGACACCAAGACACTGCTAGTGTGTGAGACTGTGTGCTGGGATATGTTCATTTGTCTGTGTGTTTTGGTGGCCTTGAGGCAGGAAAAAGGGACTATTTTGAAACATTTCTGAGGGAAACCTGATCTGAAATACCCAATCGAAGTCTTGGGTACTCAGACTAGACATGCCACAATGTTCGCTGACTGTACTCCCGTCAACTACAGCTAAGGATTTCTTCATGAATGCATTATGAAGCCAGACATTTCAATATTTTCTGTTATGCAATTTAAAAAATGTGTTTCAATACTATCATAGAACAGAGGAAAAACTACTTCATATGTATCAGGTTTCCTTCCAGCTAAACCTCAAACACAGGTGGTTTCTGTGCCGTTCACTCTAATAATGGGGAAAGCATGTGAGTGTAGTAGAAAACTGTGAGTGAGTTTAGGCCAGAAAAAATATGTGCAGCTGCACACAAACATATTATTTGACGTATAACAATGTTTTGATTTGTTATAATTCATGATAACACTGGCATCATTTGAATGCTGAGACTTAAAGCTGAGAAACACAAAACTCAAAACAAAAATTACTCCTATCGAAATTACAACTTTTTATGATGCACGTCACAAATCTTCACATGAGTACTTGTATAAAATGTAAAAATATAAATTTTTCAACATTTTGATCATGTTGTATTAATATGGTTTATGTAAAGTGTAAAATTTCTCACCTGTAGGCCACAACTTTACTCACTCCAAATGCACCGACCAGCAAATCTGTAAAGAGAGTGAAATATACTGAGAGCTGCAGGACGGATACAATATGATACAGAAAAATGTGTGTTGCAAGAGAAAGAGAACGAGTGGCTGGATCATAAAGCTTCAAAGCACACTGCAGCTGGAAGTGATTTGGGCCTCCAGCAGACTCCATCAAAGATTCGTCGACCCGTTTCTCATTCTACCAGTCTCGCATCTTACATCACCTGCTGTCCCTGAACAGAGCCATTGAGGAACCCTAGAGAGCCACGGAGAACGTGTGAGGCTTTAATCTCATTCTACTCAGAGGTGCACACAGCCACATCTGATTAAGCGGAAGGTAAATACGACACACTGAATAGTTTCCTTCTCTTAAAGGTGGGGTAAACGATTTCTGTTAGCCAATGTTGACATTTGAAATCACCAAAACAAACACGCCCCTACCCCAAAAGTGTCTCGCCCGCCATCTCTATCTTTCTGTCGCTCGGCTCGGACTGAACGCTCTCTCCTCCACATCATGAGTAGACACGCCCCTTACTGCTGATTGGCTACAAGTTTGTTTTGCTAGTCGGCCCGAATAGTTTCCTAAAGCGTTTTTGAAAAATCACTTACCCCACCTTTAATAAAGGTAGGCATGATAAACCTGAGTTTCAACTTGAATGAGATTTTAATGTGATGCAGTGGAAGCGCTGTAGTGTAGTTTAAATGAACCAGGGCCTTCACAAAAATTAAGCGATTAGGTTTAATAAAAACAATGTGATCCCCATCACTAATTTGTAAATCTAATGGAAAGGAAGACAAACCAACTAATGCCACAAAACCCCACAGAATTCATCAAACTGGTTGATAACACTTGCTTATACTTGTACTGCTGTTTTCCTGGTGGATGGCAATAGTACCCATATTGTCAAAACAAAAACAATGAAATCATGGTTTTTTTTCACATATTTTGATAAGAAAAAGGAAAAAAGAAGGAAAAGCGTGAAATATTTCATAATAAATGAGTCACTCTGGAATAAGACTTCTTAAGAGACTTATATTATAAAATATTACCCAAACTTTTGAATGACAGTGTATATGCATATTTTTAATGAAAATGTACTGTATAACTGCATAACAAATGACCTTTTCTGATGATCCCATTCTTTCTTCCTCCAAAAGCAGCACTAAAAAAATTCTGATCATTATACAGACACACACATAAATATTGAAATAATTGAACATAGCAAAAGTAACATTTTTAATAAAATTCACTTTTTTAAATATCAGGCCAAACAAAACATTGATATAAACAACATCATCAAATATTCAGGTCTGTGTGCACACAAAACTCGTATAACCATTCACTCATCTCTGACATCTCATTAAACTAGTATGTATAACTGAACCAACATAAACAATAGCAAAAAGTAGATTCTGACTCAGACAATATTACAATATTAGAGGTTTGATTTCTTTGGTGGTGAAATAGTTTTTGTGATAAGTATAGAATTTCTAAAAACTAAACATTAAACTTTAACCTTCACACAGGTCGGTTTCATTTGGTCTTTCATCAAACTTGAGCAAGAGAACACTTTCTCTCCTCAGTTTATGAATTGTACAAAGCATTAATAGGAAGGAAGAGTACAAATCGGTCATTTGAGGGATGATTTCAGTCAGGAAAACTCATATGTAGGAATGTTCCAGAAGAGCTCCAGCACCCTAATGAGTGCTTAGAGACTGCGGCTTTGACTCCTGTTTCACTGAGGTTGATCACTGGCTTCGCTTTCCATCAGGTCCTGCCTTCAGGAACGAGACACCCCTAGCAAAGAGCCTGTTGCAAACCAGTCAGCAGCTTTTGGTATTGTGACAGAAAACACACCTCGAACACAACGGACAGAAACACGCACACTAAAGCCTACTGACAGACACACGCACACCCTGAAGGCCTGAGCTTTCACCTTGTATCTGTGAGGCAGAAATTATGACAGAATAATTAAATCTATTATATTCTCACATCTGGAAAGTGCATTTGCGCGCTCTTTGAGAGACTTCCTCAGAACGGCAGTGATGTGTAAACGTGTGTGTGTGTGTGGTGCAAGAGTCAACCTCAAAACTTTCAGGTCAAACTCTCCGGCCACCACAACACAAAGGTCTTAACTGCAGAAATAGGTTAATAGGAGGTGGAATGATGGAGGGAGGGGATGGAAGAAGCTCAGGCACTTAAACTTTAATGAGGACGGAGTCTGTTATAGTCATCTTCATTCTCTAGCCAATGAAATGCCGGACCACAGCCAACTAATGCAGTCCTCTCTTTTACCTCCAGCTCAGAATTTCTCTCTCATTTCACCTGACATACAATCACACATGCATCCATCTCTTCCCCTCCAAACAAATTAGAAATTAACTCCTCCCTGTAGAAGTCTGGATGGAAATCGGGACTAAATGCACATTTTGGAGGGCGCACTAAAGGGATATAAGGTGCCTCCCCAAGTTCTTAAAACATTTCTAATGGGTCCTGAATGTAACATCAGTTTCACACACAAACAAAATATCATGTTTTTGGAAGTATTCTAATGTAGAAATATATTGTAAAGGGGAATTCTGATCATAAATCTTTCCACCATTTTTTTTTTACCATCAGAATGACAAATTCTGATTCTCTATTAACATTTGGTATTTTAAATGTGTTTTTCTCTCAAATTAATAAAGTAATTGTTTCTAAATGTGCAATGTGAGTGTGTCTGTTTAGTGTTCTGTCTGAGAACAATACCTGAAGCAGCAGACAGGAAATGCAAAGTACAAAATCTCCACTGCTGTTTAAACAGGTCATGATGAATGACACTTGACCTTTGACTTTAACCCTGCATTTAACCACAAAGTTCACACTCACCCTCACATTAACCCCAAACCACACACACAAATGAAATGGCTTGTAAACAGGAAAGGTAACCATGTGTGCTGATTTATAACATACAATGAATAACAGGATTTTTTATTCTTAATCTATGTAGACATTCTCAAACAATGTGCCGACCAAGTTTCCAGCAACAAGCAATAGTTTGTCCATACTGAACATGAAATTGCTGCTCAATAAGACAAAACCACAGCCAATCAGAAGATAAGTGATGCATAAAGGGATAATTCACACAAAAATGAGAATTCTGTCCCTCGCCCTCATGTTGTTTTAAAACTGAATGACTTTGTTTCTTCTTTTAATATATTCTGTAGAATGTTAGAAACTAAAAAGTTTTGGTGACCATTGACTTCCACTCTATGGACAAAAACACTGAGCTTTTTTTTTCTGAAAACATCTTTTTCTATGTTCCACAGAAGGCAGAAAGTCATACCAGTATGGAACAACATGAGGGTGCGTAAAAGACAATTTTCATTTTGGGGTGAACTATCCCTCTACAAAGTATAAAATAGTCATGCAAAAGTTAATTATGACTATTTCTGGTGCATGAAACCATAACCAACTTTATCGACAGACTTCAAAGAATAAAATAAAAAAACGCATCCTATTTACATTTATTAATTAGCAGATGGCTTTACCCAAAGCAACTTACAAATGAGGAAAACAAATGAGTGATTTTAATCTAAATTATAGCCCTGCATTTCAGCCCGGGTCCCGACTTTTTTACGCCCCTCTGGCCGGGCTTCGGGCCAATTTTCACGTCATAGTTCAAACACGGGCCGGGCCTCGGGCCTGTTTTAGGCTTCTCATTTTTTATATTTTAGACATCCATCAATTAGTGATGAAAAAAAATTGCCTCGCTAGTAGAAACACGAGACCGTGCTACCGCGACTGTCAAGAGCGGCTCGACGGTGTTTAGTGTCCCGCAGCAGCAGTATGTATGGTGCGTGCCGTCAGCGCAGCTGAACAGTTCTGCATTCAAATGCAAGAAATAGGCCTAAGCTTGCTGCAAAGCACCGGC